TCATTCAGCACCTGTATTTCATGCCTCATCACCTGAAGCTGTGGGGTAAACCACTGTACCCCATCTGCCGAGGATTTTTCAGAGCGTCGCTGAACTTCAGGGAATGCAACACCTCTCATAGCTAAAAACTTATCAAAAAACTGATTACATTTATCATTTACAGAAATATCACAATTTAAAAACCCCCAGGTTTCCCCTTCAAGCATATTGTAAAAGAGAAATTTTCCTCGATTGGTTATGGGACGGCAAATACTATTTGTTTTTGGTTTGTATGGTTTTTCAATTAAAAAGTTGACATTCCAAAGAAACTCTATAGCAGAGTGATCTGACAATACAGGGTTAAAAACATTTGATTTAAAATTATTCAGGTAGCTAAAATTTAAAAACAGATTATCAATACAGTGATCTAACCTAGTGCTAGTAAAGATTTGCTGCGCAAAATCGTATGACCCGACAACATCCAAGAAACAATTTTTTTCATTATAATCCCTTTCAAAGTGTATGTTAAAATCGCCTGTAATAATGACATATTTTTTTAAACTAAATATATGATTTACAACAACATTAATGACATCTACAAACACATTAAAATTTCCAGCAGAGAAGCCTTGTACTTTTTTTTAAAGTTTACCAGTGAACCTGAAATCATAAATTCATACACCTCTGTATTAAGTAGTTGTACCGCTCGGTAAGAAAATGAGTTTTTAAAACCTTCGGTTATGTGCCGTGGTATTTGAAATCGTATAATGTTTCTCAGACAGCGACTGTGTAGGTCTTGTCTTACTATAAGATATTCTGGGAGAGATAGGATGGGTAACCAGATTGAAAAATTTTATAAACGAATTGACCAAAGTGCAAGGCTGCTCGCTGTTCATATTTTAGTATCTTATTCTCTACATAGGTTGGCGTAATATGGTTAAATTTTCTAATGCTAAAAATAAATCTCATACAAGCATTTTGAGCTAACTGAATTTTGTTTTTAAATTCAACATTCAGGTAGTTATAGAAGACAACATTGCAATAGTCCAACTGTGACCAAATAAGAGTCTCCACTAACATCAATTTAATGTTGCGAGGTAAACTATCCTTAAACGGGTACAAACTCTTAAGTACAGCATAAGCACATGACATTTTTTTTGTTGACGTGCACCTGAAAGTTAAGACTTTCGTCGAAAGTCACACCCAGATTTCTTGCTGATTCTGAGTTAGGTAGAATAGTACCGTTTATGTGCAGTGTAGTGAAATTAAATCGCAAAAATTGACTTCTGACGGCATTAGAGCCCATAATCATATTTGTGCTCTTACTAGCATTTAGAACCAACCCATGTTGACTTGACCATATAAATATCGAGTCTAAGTCGTCATTTATTCTCTGCATACACACACAGGCATCCTGAGGAGCAAAACCTAACAGGAGCTGCGTGTCATCGGCATAGAGATTGATGGAGCAAAACCGAACCTGCTTTGGAAGATCGCTAGTATAAATGCTAAATAATAATGGCCCAAGTAAACTTCCCTGAGGGACTCCATAACCAGTTGTAACAGGCTCAGATCTTGCTCCATCAAGCTCAACCACCTGTGTTCTAAGTAGAAGGTAGTTCTTGAACCATTTGCAGACAGCCTCTGAAAAACCATAGAACCTCATTTTAGCCACAAGCATGTCGTGATGTATGAGATCGAAAGCCTTACTATAGTCTAGCAGTGCTAGACAAGAAACCCTTGATGAGTCAATATTAGTTGATACTTCAGAAGACACTTTTGTAAGGGCGGTAGCAGTTCCATGATTTTTCCTAAAGCCAGACTGCACAGCTGGTATAATATTATTGGTACTTACAAATTCAAGCAGCATATCAGACACTAGTACTTCGAACATTTTGGCAAATATTGGTAAGAGACCGATTGGCCTTGGTTCAGAAAAATTTTCAATTTTATTTTTCTTTGGCAAAGGCTTAACAATGGCGCTCTTCCACATTTTTGGAAATTCCCCCGTTTGTAAGGATATATTGAATAGCTTAGCTAGAAACGGAGCAATACAATCAATGCTAAAAAGAATAAGATTGTAACTTATTTGGTCTATACCCATACTTTTAGATTTAATTCTTTTAAATGCCTTATAAATATCATATCATATTTTTAAAAATAAGCTCACCATTGTTAAGGCTCTCCAGCCTATTGCCCTGATAATGATGAATATCTCGATTGGAATAAATAAGCTTGAGAGCACAATATGCCTTGCTCATGACACTTTTAATATGTTCTTGGAATCGAAACTCTTCATCAATAATAAGTCCACGATTACGCGCAGAAGACACAAACGGTAGAGGTACGTTATCTATATGAATAAACAGGTTATTTTTGACAAAATTACGAACTTTGGCACTGCCGAAACAAATGAGATTAGAGTTTAAAATCAAATTGTGCTCCAAGGACAATAATTTTATGTTTTGGAGCTCTCTGTTAATTAATTCTTCAGCCTCAAGAATATTAGGCAGCTTAAAAGAAAAATAAATTTGTGTGTCATCAGCATAGGCTATCACCTAGGCTATCACTCTACAATTTTTAACAGCTTTTATGATATCACTTGTATATAAAATGAAGAGAAGTGGACCCAGTATTGAGCCTTGAGGAACCCCAGAGTAAACAGCAATTGGGTCAGAAGATATTCCACCAAGCTCAACCCTTTGAAGACGCTGAGATAAATAGGAACGCATTAATTCAACCGATTCAGGTTGAAAACCATAGAATTTTAATTTGGAACAAAGCAAACGATGATCAAGAGTGTCAAACGCTTTGGAGAAATCTAGAAGAACAAGAGCAGAGGCAAGCCCCTGATCAGAAGCAGCAACTATATCATCGATCACCGCAGCCAAGGCCGAGGCTGTACCAAAATCTTTTCTAAAACCACACTGTGCATCAGGAAGAATATTTTTGTCGAGGAGATAGGCATATATTTGATTGTAAAGAATTTTTTCAAAGACCTTTGATATTGTTGGCAGAAGACTGATAATTCTAAGATCTCCAAAATTTTGAGGATTACTATTCTTTGCAAGTGGTTTGCCAATTGACAGCTTCCAACAACTTGGAAAATAATTATCAAGTATACAGCAGTTTATAATATGCATGATGTAAACATCTATAATGGGACTGCACTGTTTAAGCATATACAGTAGTGTCGCAATAATCCCATCCCGCGATAATCCGTATGCTTCAGTAATTCGCATCGCATTTTCGTTCCCTTGATGTACTCTGTAATCCGGATTTCACTTGATTCAGTAATCCGAATTCATTCACATGACTCTTGAAAATAAAAGCACAGGTTTTCACTTGTCGTTTTGTAACTGCGTTCAAGTGGATAGATAGTTTTTACATGTCTACACGCATCATTCAATACACAGCGTCCTTCCTGACTGTGTGGGCTTTTTAAAAAAAAAATAGCACAACTTCTTCAGAAAAATGTAGAAGAAGGTGGACAAAATTCAAATGGTGAAAATTAAGCTTTTTCTGCCTGAATACAGCATATTATTTTTTCAAAATAGTTTTAAAAGCGGAATATAAAATGCTTTAGTAATCCGAATAATTTGATAATCCGGATTGGTCTGGTTTTAATTGATCCGGATTATCGCGACACTACTGTATGAAGATATATTGTCAGAACCATAAGCATTAGTTTTGATTCCATGTAAGACTTTATGCACTTCTTCAGTTGTGGTAAGACAGAATGAGAATGTGTTGCTAAGAAAAGAAAAATTGTTGAAAAATGTTGACTTTTTCTTTTTTTTTTCAATTTTTTTTTTGCATTTTGAGTGGAAAAAGGATAAAATTTTCATTTTGAGTGGAAAAGCGATACAATTTTTGTCCTTTCAAATACCAGTAGCTAGTTACCAGATAGGTATAAACCGGTGAAACTTTGACATCAAATCTATGGGGAGTGGGCTAAAGAGTACAAGTCAAAATTAGACAAATCAAGAAAAATGCGTTCGAAATATTAGACTTTAAAATAATCGGATTTTTTGTGGCTGTTTCGAACGAATCGAATTTTTAACTTTACAAAGGTGTTTTTTTATTAGAGATAATCTATTTTTTAATTTTTTTTTGGTTCTGTTTTTTTTTATTACAAAAAAAAAATTGACTTATACTCTTTTGACCAGACCTATAGATGACATATATCATTATGAAATAAGATAATATGACTTATAATATCTTGACCTGACCTAAGAAATGACTTATACTAGTTTTGCTCAACCCAAAATTTGATATTAGCAAAAACTGGAAAAGAAGGCCAACTCTTTTTCACAAAACACTTTTTTTTTGCTGATAACATAACCTCTTTGGTCACCAAATGGTACTAAGAGTTTAAGTCGACCGACAAAATCAGGATAGGAATAGTATAAGTCTACTTGTACTATTTGAATTTTATTAATAGTGTATAATCTAAATAGTACAATTCAACTTATACTGATATGCCCAACAGAATAAAACTCCTTTTAAGTTAAACTATGTGGATTGAAATTAAAAGTAAAGTATTTCAAATAAATTGACTTATACTGTTTGGACCAGTCGATGTAGGAACCGAAAATATATACCAAAATGACTTAAACTCATTTTCGCAAAATTTTGACTTGTACTCGTTAGCTCACCCACCATAGAAATGTACTTTGTCAAAGTGTACAATTGGCCAATAGTAATGATATTTGTAAAATTACCGGCTTCGCCGCAAAAACGTTTTTTTTTGATTTCCCAAAAGCGAGCCCAAAAGTACTTAAGGCTTACTGGAATTTTATCCTTTTTCCAATCACCCATTCAATTAGACTTGACCTCCTAATTGTGTTGTCAACTGTAAGTATATGGATAAAATCTAACTATTCTAACTGGGTAGGTACCCATAGAAACTAATTTATCTATAACTTTCTCAGGGCAAGGTTTTCATTAGTGGAGTTGTAGGTCCTCTATAATTTATTTATAATATGTAAAGGTAGGTAAAAACCAAGAGGTCAACTTACGATATGATCATAATAATCACTGGAAGTAGAGGGATTCACATCACTGTTTTGTAGCAGAGAATCTCTATCATTGCTCATCTTATTTGAACAATATGTATTTGCACTTCCTTCTACAGTTAAGATGCAGACAGTTGTATGTTGATGTTTTCCCTCTATTTACTTTTATTATCTTTATTGCTTTTCAGTTTTCAGTGACCTTTGCCTTTGATAAGGTTCAAGCTCTATCACTATCACTACAAAAACAAACTGTTCTAAAACTTAAAACACCAGACCAAACAAAGCAAGTCAGCAAAGCAAATATTTTCTTTTTAACTTTTCCAGTTCAAGATCAGCGGATTTGGGTATGGTTGTCATAAAAGGCTTTCATTTGTTTTTGGTAGATCTGCTCCAAGTAGACAAACTACTTGCCTAGCGTTCGGTATTGTGCTCAAAGAGCAGAGCGGAGCAGTAATCACGTAACCAGCGAGCGAACAGAGCAGTTGAACGCTGTATCAGAGTGCCAGAAATTTTAATAAACGAACGCGAATGAGCCTGAACCGAGTGCACTCTTTAAATAAACGAACGGTAAATTCAAGCTCGGAGAACTCAGATCAAAATACCGAACGCACGGTGAGAGCAGGGGGCGGATTCTCATCCTCTAGTCGCAACCATATATCGTCCTGACTCACCCGTAGAAAGGCAATGGGATAGTCGGGACGATAGGATAGGTTGCGACTAGAGGATGAGAATCCCCCACCAGGTCTAATGACAGTTCTTGAGCAGGTCCGCAATCCATATTCACCATCCAAAGAATCTTCACCACCGTTGCAGAGTCAGAGCCCGATTTGATTTTCACCCCTTTCTCATGCCCATAAATGCGCAAATTTCGGTAAATAAAAAATATAAGCTAACCAGAATCAGACCTGCATTCGAGAAGGGGGAGATTGTCTAAAGGCAAAGTTCCTAAAGTTCATAGGTTGCCTGGTATTGGGTAACTTGATGACGCATCTCTGGGGTGCTATGGAGATTTGCATTATGTTGAGGCACCCCAGATAACGTCATAAAGTTATCAGGCAACCTACCTCTCTCAAACAACCTTGGTCTAAAGGTGCATCCAGAACGGTGCAACAAACAGCGCAAAACGTTCGCTAACGTTGCAGAATATTTCAGTTTGGACGGTTGCGGGCTCAGACCACTGATCTAATGGCGTTTTCCATTTGTCGTCTCAGTGCAGCATTCAGTGCGCAGGAGAATTTTTCTAGTGCTGTCAAAAACGCGCACCAGTGCAATATAAATGGAAAGCAAAAATGCAGGCTCGGCTCGGATTCCCCCCCAGACTTTTTTGGGGTTATGTAAAATCATATGTTGGTTTGTTGTTTTTGTTTAGCACTTGCCGGTTTCTGCTTCCTGCTCTGCATGTTTTATATAGGCTGTTCATTTGTACTTGCTACCTGCTCGAAAAATCAGGATGATCTGCTATTTATGAGCTTATTATATGGGAGTTATCGGACAAGTGAACGCCGGTCAGCTGTTGAGATCTGCTTGAAGCAAGAAAAGCAGTACTTTCAGAATTGATGAAGAAATCATACATAATAAATACTTAGTTCGATGGTCCAGGTCATTTATTTAAAATTACAGCTTCTTCTAGTTCTTCTCCGCGGTTTCACCCGCTGTTGAATTTGGGAGAAATTGGACTACCTATACCTATAAATAATTTAGAGTAGGTATACTTCGCATCAGTACTATATTTTTAAACAACAATAAACAATAATATACCCATAAACAACGTGGATAAGCTGCGAAATTCGCTCAAATAATATAATTTCGTCATCGAATTCAACTTCGCTGCAGCCAGATATTAAATCCAAAAGTGCAACAACTTTTTCTTTGGAAATTAGCAGACATTTTTATGTAGGGTACATGACATGTAAACATAAACAAAACAAACTGCACTGGCTCTCCATGAGCCTTCCTAGCTCGTGCCAAAAAATGCGCACTGAGTGCATAAATAATTGAACTGAATTTCAAATGGAAAATGAAAACTGAAAATGTGCAGTCAAATGGAATAAAAAAATTGCACTGAGTGCACCTCCGTGCAACAAATGGAAAACGCCATAAAAAATAAATAGCGCTCTGTTTTGCCCGGCGCAAAATGTTTTCCATGCGGTGTCCGTACATAAACAAAAAATTGTTGCAACAGTACGGACGTTATCGGCCCTGCGCGGAATGTTTGTTGCAAAACGTTCGCGAACCTTTTGCGCTGTTTGTTGCACTGGTCTGGATGCACCTCAACGTACGGTCAAGCACTGGAACGCCCGAGCCCATATATTTTCGACCGCGCACCGGCTCTCGCACGCTACGTTCCATCAACAATTTTTTCGCTCATTTTGATTCCAACCGATAATTCATTCACTCTGGAGCAGCACGAACAGTAGATAGTAAACAACAAAAGTTGGAAGCTAATAGCGTATTTTATTGGTAGAGCAAGTGCAACACGCGTTTTGCACTGACACCCTTCTCGTGCTTAAAAAACTGCACGCGTGCAGTACCAATGAAACATCATCGTACTGCACCATCCCATATAAGTTCAAACGTCAAGTACTATTATAAATAAATATTATACATAAAAGTTGAAAAAAAAAACAGTAAAAACACAATTATTAACAAAACTAGTTTGTGAAAATCGGATTAGAGACTAGATTTCTATAGATTAGAAGGTGGTCGACGACGTTATTTTTTGTCATGGAGGATGATAGGAATGACAGGATTTTTCTGCTAAGTATATTTTAAAATTAACAATAAAAAAGTCTTGATGGAAGTGATGTTTATCGGAAAATCCTTAAATAGCATCCCCAGCAAAACCTTTCATTTTGGGGATTCCCTTTCTGCAAGAAACCCTAGTAAAAGTAAATTCGCAGACAAATAAAAAAAACACAATACCTACACAATAAAAAATAAAATTTGGGGCTATTTTTTTATCAAAAACCATCAACCATCAATACTAGGATTTGTTTTGATTAGTTTTTTCTCTACGAAATCCTGAAGGTAATTGTCTGCTATTCAACCCAAGTAACAATTCGACGTCATTTGACGTAATATTACGTTAAAAATGTACTACGTGACGTCGGCATGCGACGTCCGTAGGACTTCCTGATGACGACCAAAATTCGACTAAAATGGGGAATGAAATTTCGGTCGATTCGACGTCGGAATCCGACTTATTTGAGTCCTTAAGCGGACTAAAAAAACGGACCAAAACACTACGTAATTTGACGTTGGGAATTCTATACCATTTCCGACTTGAAAAGTCGGGAAGATCTAATTATTTATATCTCAACTGTACTATTTAAAAATTGATCTAAAGATTTTACCCTATTTTCTACCAAATGTGGATATATTATTTTGGAAACATAACAACACAAAATGACGTCAACTATTTTCATTGTAATATAAATCTAGGTTCTTGCAACATTTTAGTGCATTTCAGAAGTTTCTCGGGTGAAAATTCATAAACGCAGGCGACTTTATTGATAGAAATAACTAGAGTAGGACTAAAAACACAACTGCCTCCCCAAAAATCAGTAAAATTTAGAAAAATATCAATTTTTGTTCAATTTCCCAATTTTAATTTTTTGTTTAATATGGGTTCAAAGATACTTGTGAAGCGCTGCTATTGCTTTTTGGTGAACAATTGTAAAAAACACACTATGAAGGACTAATCTTGGCGATGTTCAGTGTGAAATTAAAATTAATCTAAAATAGGGTGCCCATAATTTTTTGTATGAATGCTGTACACATCTAAAATTTTGGGACAGGTTCTTTTTTGGGGAAATTTTGTCGACTTTCGACTTTATAGCTCGTTTTAGTACCATACTTTGGAGATGATCGCGTAAATGACGTATATCACAAATGTAGAGATGCGGCGTTAAGCTTACCCTGTACAGGGTATTTGATTATATTTGGATCCATCTACAGCCTCTACTAAGATAGAAAAAAAAATTAAATACAAAACTTGACAGTTTTTTTCTATATTTTCTTTTAACGTTATCAGAAAAAACAAAATCGCATCGGAAAATGTAGAAACGTAGATACCTTCGACTTTTTTTAATGGAACACCTTGTATATATATTTTGTGATAAAATGAAGATCTTTTCTTCTTGATTCCAAATACCTATATATGTTACTGTAAATGCCCGAAATTCGGTAAAACCTAGGATAAGCGCGCTAAACCTAGAATTTACCAAAAGCAAGTGGTAAAAGCCCGAAAACTAGTTATTTTGCTTCCATTTTGGACTTTTATCGGACACAAACAGTAAATCTCAGGATTTACCACACCGCATTAGTAAAAGTACGAATACCACTGATACGCTACAGAAATCGATATACTGAAACGATAATCGTTAAAATTTCAATGTCTAAAAATAAGGTACTTTATAAATGAAACAAAAAGTCGCACCAAAACACTTTTTATTTTAATATTCTTAAATGTAAACAGAAATCATAGTGGTCTTAAACGAGATATTTAAATTTAAAAAAAAAACATTAATTCAGGTACTAATACCGCAAAAAGTACCTAAATATTAAAAGAAAATATCCTTTTATTCACGACTAAAGTATAATGTAAGTATTACTTGTGATTTTGGCAGTATAATGACATATGTTATTCCACCAGGGAATAAATGACGAGTAGAGGGATTAATGGTCATTATTCCTTAAAAGTGTCAGTGTCAAACGTGTAGTGCTGGTGGATTTGTATTGCGAATTGAGATGGATGAAATTTGTTCATTAATATGGTCCGAATATAGCCATAGTTGTGGTTTCGCGGTCCGAAAGTAATCGATCGAATTACTCTGGTTCCTGGAAAAAGTGGTTACTTTTGGACCTCGGTTTCCTGAAATCTGGTTAACCAAATGTCAAAATAGTTACCCGGCCATCGGATATCGGTTTTGTTGGTTTTATCTGTAATTTTTGTCAATTATTTTTTATTTCATGTTTGCGTTCATCAAGTAACCGGAATTTTCAGTAACCATCTGTTAACCGATTCGGTTACTCTGGTTAATGTTTGGTTATTTTCGGACCATAGCCTAAATCTGAAATAAATTAATTTGTCGTAAATAAAGTCGCAATAATGGCTATTATTCCTTCGGAATGTTACTCCCGCACGCCGCTAATGCGGCTCAGGGGTGCGATTTTCGAAACCATTCGAGTACATTTCGTACACGAAATTTGACTGACAGCAATGTAAATTAAATGGGGAGCAGTCAAATTTCGTGTACGAAATGCACTCGAATGGTTTCGAAAATCGCACCCCAGTTCGTGAATATTCCTCGGGAATAATAGCTATTATTATTGACTCGTGGTAT